CAAAGTTCTACACACAAACCAGTGAACCTTAAGGGACCCTTTCACTCTCTTATTGTGAATATTTGTCAGTGCTCGGGGGCCGTGATCGCAGTGACAGGTGAATCAGGGGCCCGGCGGTGGCATCCCAACCCCACGGACTGGGGAACGCGGGAGCCCCCCGGGCCCACCCCCCGGGATGCGGCACCCAGCAGTTCCGTCCTCAGGGAACGGAGCGGACGGGGGCGCGGCTCCCTGGACACTCCGGAGGAGGAGGAGGAGGAAGGAGGTGCGTGAGGACTGCGGGGAGATCCAGTCCGGCAGCTCCGCGCCTTTCCACCCCCCTCACTCCCGGGAGAGTTCCCGCGGGGAGCGGAAACCCCTCGCCCCTCTCCTGCCCCCTCTTTAATTTTCATGCCGCCTTTTAATTAATAATTAAAGCTAAGAAAGGCCGGGGCTGAGGAGGGCTGCGGCTCTACCGCTGGAGTTGGCCGACCCACAAATGTGCTGGGGGGCCGCTCCGCGATTTCCCCTCCAGAGTCGGTACCCGAGTCCCGCAGCCCTGGTACCGCGGAGCCGCCCCGTCCCGTCCCGTCTCGTGTTTCCCAAACGCCGCCGCCCCGAGAGGCACCCAATGCGCGGAGCCGCGCGGAACGCAACGCGGTAACGGCGGCTCTGGGAGCGCGCATTGCTCCGCGGTGCCCCGGTGCCAGCGCGCAGTTCCGACGCGAGGTCGGACTCGGCTCCGTCCGGACGTAGCTCAGTTCTTTTCCTACGAGGAAACGCCTCTGAGTTGGGGTTAACCTTCAGCGTCATGCCGAGCGCCGGGAGCTCAAAGATGCTCTCCCGGCTCTCAAACCCGAACAAAAAGGAGCTGCAGAGAATCCCGGGTTTTCGCTCCCAACAAAGAGTTCCCGGTCTCTGCATCCCGGAGCGAATTCTTATTCCTGTGTCCGCTCCGAGTATTGGAGTCGATAGAATATATCACATCTCCGAGTCCCTTCCCTGCTCGCAGCGGCTGTTGCTCGTTCCACTCCGTCCCCACCTCACGCCGGGTGCCACAGCGGCGGTCCCCGCTCAGCACTCGGCCGTTGGGGCTGCGGACACTTCTGGAATCCCGTGGTAAAAAAAAAAAACAAACATCAGTAAATAAAGGTGTATGCACTGAACGCGTTCCCCGTAATCTCACAGGCACCGATGAACAAACTCAGCAAATATATGAGGGTGTGACTACAAGGTCGGAACGAACTGACTTTTAGTTATGGGATTATATTTATATAACGTACTCTTCTTTTTGTTTATTATTATTATTATTTTTTGCTTAATTATCCTACGCGACCCGTCCCGTAAACTCATGATCTGCTGTGGGATATTTCTCTCTGTCCCCTCTCTCTTTGCTGTACCCCCACAGGTTTCCAATTCGCACGCCTTTTGTTTTTCCTCTTTGTAAACGTGTATTAAAAAACGCTGTGACTGCGCGAGGTGGGACGGGCATCTGCGGGTCGGGGCTGCGGTGCTTCTTCACGACGGCTCCGTCTCCTCCGAGCAGTGCTCGGCAATAGAAAACGGCAGTTTTGAAGTGTTGAGGGGAATGGCAAATGGATGCTCCGACAGCGTTCGCAAATGTGCATCAGCTGCGTATGTGCACGTATATATCTGCGTGTATGTATACACACGTATATATTTACTTAGGTGCAGTTTGCTGCTCTCCGGGCGGGACGGGACGCTGCAAGGAGCGGCGAGCGAACCCCTTGGAGATGAAACAGAGGGCAGAGCGGGGGCATCGCCGCTTCCCGCACACCGAGCTCATCGGGGTCCTGTGGGCACGGCTACCCAGCCGAGATCGGCCCTTCCTTCCCGAGGCCAGGAACGCAGCGATGCTCGGTGCTGCGGCGTGTGTGCGAAGCTCTTAGCGCTATTGACTCTTAACTTTCTTCGTGAAGACAAAATTACCATATGTCGATGTGTAAACACTTCGGCATAAAATTAAAACCAGCTTCGCGCGATTGTCACCGCGCTGAATTCTGACACAAACGATCAGATGCCGGTGCGCTTCGTTTTTCCCAATGATCAGACGCAGTCAGCGTGGCTAAACCAAACGCGAGCGCTGAACGTCGTCCGAAGGGCGCCGGCTGCGGCCGGGTCGGTGCGGGCTGCGCGGAGCCGGGGTCACGTCGGGCCGGGCCGCCGGGAGCCCCTGGAGCTCTCCCGCGGGTACCGGAGCCGTGGAGCGGCGGAGGAGCACCGGGGGACACGGAGAGGCCTCGGGCGGCAGCGCCGCGATAGGGCAGCCCCGAGGAGCCCCGTGTGCCGCAGGCAGCGGAGTCCCCGGACTCCTCGCTCCCAGGAGTGCCCGCAGAAGCCCCCCCTCGCCCCCCCGGCTCTTCCCGGCACGGAACACACAGCGCCAGGAGCTCGGGACGGAGCTCGGTTATCCGCAAAGCCCTCACCTTATCGACCCCCGGGGCCGCGGGAGGGGCTGGGGAAGTGCGGAGCACGAGTAATGTGCCTTACAGAGGCTCCTTTATGGGGGAAGGATGCGGAGATCATCGTGCAATTAATGACACTTTACTACCGAAATGTGTAACACCGGGTAATCACCTATAAACTTCCCGTGGAATATAAAAGACGCTCCGAGATAACAGAGCTCGGGTCGGACGTTATTTTATGGAGTACTACACGCTGCTCATTCCCACCCCCTCTCCCCTCCCCCTCCCCCTCCCACGTACGGCCATCCTTTTCCCCGGGCAGATGTCACCGCAGGGAACCTCCCGGCCGTCCCTCCCCCGGCTATAGCGCGCTGTGTGCCCTCTCTCAGACTCTCATGCCCGCGTACACAGATGGGAGCGACTGCTTCCAAGGCGAGCGGCCCGTTCCCCCCGTGTCGAGAAGGCAGAGAAGGGGGAACGCCGGGATGAAATGTCATGCGGAGATGTGGAGCGGCAGAAGGAGAGGGTTTGCTGGGATGCGTTTCCCTGCTAAACTCTCTTCGGGGAAAACCAGTGCAGGTTGATAGGAATATCCTGTTTTGAGAGAAACGCACCGACCGGCCTGGAGCAGGGCCGCGGGGCTCGGGGCACAGCAGTGCCTCGGCCACGTCCGCACCTCGGCCCCGGGAGGCAGCGCGGGGCTCGGCCAACGGCCCGGCCGGGGGGAACCGCAGCTGCGGGCTGTGCAGAAATCCGCGAAACGAGTGCTTAACCCGGGGGGATTTCTCCTAATGGCGAAATCAGAGAGAGAGAGTTTTCAGGGAAGAGAACGGCCCAGTATAAGTTCCTCGAGTGGAATTTACATTTCGCCGCGATTTATGGTTTATAACGGATGGACACGTGCGCGCGGGGCGCGTTCCGCCGCGGCGGCGGGGGGGGCCTCGCAGCCCCGGCGGCTCCGGCGGCGGCAGGGAGAGGGGCCCGAGGGCAGGGCCCGAGCTGGGGCGGCGACCGCGGCTCTTTTTCCCCGCGGCCCGGGCTGCTCGCTCCCGCGGAGGCCGGGCTGAAGGCGCCGCGGCCGGGCCGCCCCGACCACTCCGAGCCCCTCGGCCGGGCCGGGGCACGGCGGCCGCTAACAAAGGCGGAGCGGCCCCTCCACGTGTGCGCGGCCCTCCGGCCCTCCGCGCTGCGGTGCCGGGCCCGCTCCCCGCTCCCCGCTCCCCGCTCCCCGCTCCCCGCTCCCCGCTCCGGGCCGCATTAGCGGAGCGGCCATTTACTGCCCCCGGATTGCAGCAGCGCCCAGGTTAGCTCATAAAGCCATTCACACTCAACAATAGGGATTTTCTCAACAATTAACAAGAAACAACATAATAAAGCCATTTACAAAGCCCGCGCTATTTACGATAAATTAGCCGCTCTTTAAGAGAGCGGTGCGTAATTTCACACACTTTACAGCCGGGCTGCAGCACGCAGCGGACGGCCCTGTTGCGCTCCGCGCGGAGCCTCTCCCGGATCCCCTCCCGGGCCGATCCCGGAGCCGTTGCCGGGACCCGCGGGCCTCTCCCCGCCGCGCACAAAGCGGGGGGCGGCAGCGCCGTGCGAACGGCCGCGGCCGCCGCGGGGCCGGCGGGGGGCGCGGGCCGGGAGGCGCTCTGCGGCGCGGCGGCCCCCGGGGGCCGCGCGGAGCGGCTCGTGGCGCGGCGCGGGGCCGGCGGCGTGGCGCCGGGCAAGATGGCGGCCCGAGGCGCGCCGTGCCCCGCGATGGGGCCGCCCCGAGAAGCGGCCCAGCGCCGCCCGCGGCCTGCGGGAGCCCGGCACCGCGCGGGCCGGCCCCGGGGCCGCTTCCTCCCTGCCCCGCGCCGCGCGTTCTCCCTCGTTCCGCGTTCCCGTGGCCGGCGAGCGGTGGCAGCGCTGCGAGGAGCGGCTCCCGCCGAAGCGCCGCTGTTTACAAACACAGCTGTTGCGGTGTATTTGCAATGCTAAGGACGGAGCGGCGAACGAGGGCCGACGCGGAACAGACTCCCCGGCACGGGGAGGGCCGGGCGCTGCCCGGGGCCGCCAGCTCTCCCGGCCGCTATTGTGAGCGCCTCGTGCGAAACATCGCGGGCCTTCGGCGCGGGGCTCGCGGGGCCGCCCGGCAGTGAAAGGAGCGCGGGGAGAGGCCGGGCCGCGGCGCAGCTTTGTGCCGGGAGGCGGCCGGGCGCAGCTTTGTGCCGGGAGGCGGCCGGGCGCGGGGAAGGCCCGGCCCGCAGCCCGCCGTCCCGCGTCCCCCGAGCCGCAGCCGCCCGCTCGGAGCGCGGCTGGACGGGGAATGGCGGAGGCTGCGAGCGCGGCTCAGGCTCGGTGGGCCCCGGCCGCTGTTTCCGCTGCGTGGTCGCCCTTCTTTTGTACTTCGGAGCCGAACCCGGGGATGAGGCGTTGCGTGTTCTTTCCCGTCGCCATCGCACCCGGGAAAACCACGGTCCTCTGCAGCCGCCTCCCCTCACCGAGCGTTTCCCCGCTCATCTCCCCGTGTAGAAAACGTGCACTTTTTCTGCACCTCTCCCTTAGCCGCTCACACGTGCTAACAGGGACAGACAAAACGTGGTAGCGTCGTTCTCATTTCTGCAGAAAGCGTAATTTTATTAGCAACTAAATCTGGTGAAGGGAAAAGGATCCGTGTGAACAGCAAAGTTCACACCGCGGCACCGCCGCTCGCATCACTGCGCGTGCAGCAGCGAAGGGAAGACCCGCTGCAGGCAGTGCGCGCTGCAACGCGACGTGGTACGGCAGCATCCCCGCCGCCGGGGCTCGGCACGTGTTCCCTTCTCGGTGCTCGGCAGCGCTCAGCGCGGTCCCAAACTCCCTTTTGTCCTCGGCTTGGCCGCAGGCGTCTCCCCCACGAGCAGGGCAGGGAGCTGGGCCTGCGGTGTACCTGGGAGGAGCAGACGCGCTGCGCCACGTCGCTTTTCCTTTATGGAGTTCTGTGGGGTTTTGTGCACCCGGAGCGGGAAAATGGTGGCATTTCACCACTGAGACGTTTTAAATTTTCTCTGCCGTGAACATCGTGACAAAACTGTGGCCTGGCCCGTGAGATCACCTTCGTTTTTCCTCACGTTATAACTTACCGTTCAGGCAGAAATGGGTTATTGGTGCACAACGCAACGTATTTGTTGGACTCTGTATTAGTGAGGCTGGCATGGCAGCGGGCTCTGTCTCAGCACCAGTTGCAGTGCCATCTCCAACAGCCGTCCGACCACCCGAACTGGGAGGAATGCCGTATTTTGCATCACAGTGCGTTACGTACCTGGTGACACTCCCGGCACAGTGACACCACGGGGCCCCGTGGGCAGCACCAAGTACACACGTGTGGCGATGGGGATGTGTGGCTCGGTGCCTCCCGCTGCACCCTGGCCAGGCGCCATACGTCCCCGGCCCTGCAGGGCCTGTTTGGGATCAGTGTGTGTCTCTATCCCCTCCCCCCCTCCCCCCGGATTATTTCAGGAACCCAAAAAGGCACCTCTGCAATTTACAATTCCCAGCCACATCAGCACAGCGTAATTGGAAGTAAACAGGGTCAGGGGACAGAGTTCCTCTGAAAGCGATACGTTGTTTAATTGACACGACAAAATTTTAGGCTTCCAGTTTGCATATTACATCTCCGCAGCTTTCCAATTTGATTTTTTTTCCTCTTTTTTTTTCTTTTTTTTTTTTTTTTCTTTCTTTCTTTCTTTTTTTTTTCGGTGCAGGGAAGACCTGTGTCAGGCAGAGCAGAGCAGGGGCTTCCCAGGGCGGTGCGCTCTGACCATATTCACAACTCTCTGGAAATAGGGCCACGGTCTGCTCGGCCCCAAATGCACGCGGGTAAACACTCGGCCCCCAGCCACTCTGCGAGCCGATTTTTCACGACCATCGTAATTTCAGCAGCGCGGTTAAGTGTGCAGAGTACCTTTTGCAATTGGCAGCTCTAAGTGATGTGAGCATGCGGGGGAAGGGTAACCCCGCCGAAGGGTGATTGTTTACTCTCTCTAACTGTATTTGGTGCAGGTATTCCTAGAGCGGGGCTTTACAATGGGGGAAAAGGAGGGCGCGGGGATAGCGCGGAGCTGCGGGCGGCGGCGTGCACAGAGCCACGAGGGCTGCGGGGGGCACCACAAAGGCAGGGATGAAACAGCCGAGAGCGGCAGCGGATCGCCGGCAGAATGTTGACTTTGAGTCACACGGTAAACATCACGTTGTGGCTTTGTTTTCCTTTTTTTTTTTTTTTTTTTTTTTTTTTTCTTTTCTTTGATTTACGATAAATTATCCTTCCGAGATTGATCGATGAGTGGAATCCTTAACATTTAATTTAGGAATGATCTAGTATAAATAAAGCGCCAATCCAAAGAAAGAAACCAGCAGTCCTTCAGCCGAAACCCCGCTGATTCAGCACTCGGCCTTCCCGGGGCCGCAAACTTCTGGGCCGCGCTCGGAGCTGCGCCCGTCCCCCCGCGCCGGGGCCCTTCGGCAGCCCTCGGCCCCGGGCCCGGCTGCTGCGCGGCGGCCTTCCTTTCTTTTTTCTTTTTTCTTTTTTTTCCCTTTCTTTTGGAGGGGCTTTGGGGGCAGGGAGGGAAACAGTGAACCTCTTGAAGCGTATTTCCTCGGAATCCAACCGGGGATCTCCCAAACGGAGAGGAAAGCGAGGATAAATTGCAATAATTCAAAGTGTAGGGAATCAGGAATTTTTAAACAGTGTTTTTAATTGAAAATAAAGCTAAAGCATGCTTTTCAACAGTGCAAATTTCCATCATTTTGATTTACCGCTTCCATCATCACAATATATTATACCGGCATGTCTCTCCGAGGCGAGGCCCTCGCCCCCGCCCGCTCCACTATTTCGATATTAAGTGCAAATAGAGATAATCGCCTCTGATTGTCACGTGCGGTAGAAACGTTTCTGCTACATAGAGAGGACGGCCTGGAAACAAAAACCGACAGCGCCGGGGTTCGGGGCTGAGGACAACGAGGCGGCAGCGCCCGAGTTCAGGGCCGCAGAGCCACGAGCAGCGCGGGGCTCGCGTTTGGTGCGCTGTTCCCACTCCTGGCCCCTCGCTCCGCTCTCTCTGCGCCGCATTTACTGCTTCGCTATTTCCTGCGGCCCGCGCGGGGTTGCCCATAAATCGCCGCGGGCCGGGCAGGGCTCCGAGCGCCGTGCAAGTTTGCAGGGGCGCGTTCGGAGCGCAGCTTCGGCACGACGTGAGCGGGTAACTGTAACCTTATTTAAGACCTCTGGGTGAAACAAAAAGGCTTCCAATCGCACCGAGGGGCTGCACGAGCGAAAGGACGCCCTTTCCCCGCGCTGCGATCCCCCGTTTCGTGCTGCTCTCTGCCCCCGCCTTCCCCAGGGGCTGAGCGCAGCGCTGTGGGCCCGAGGCACCGCACCGCCCCGCTCCGAGCGCCGAGGTGCGGCCAGCCCTCCTGTGCGGCCGTGGCACTTCACAAACTTGAACTGAATTAACAGTTAGACTGCCATGTTCGAAATCTAGTGCATAAATTTAATGGCTCATTCTAGTATTTATTATTCAACCTTTTGACATTTATTTGCAGCAGTTGAATTGAGGTACTGGTGCATTATTAGCATTCAAACAGTAAAGTGTTCCAGCTCTACCGGCGTAACTGAGTTGAGTTGAGTCTTTGCCTGAAGTACTCTGTGGAATGTAACAAAAAATACCCAAATGTAACAGGAAAAAAAAATAGAAAGAAAAAAAAAAGAAAAGAAAAACAACAAAAAAAAAAGACCCAAACAAACCAAACCAAAACCACTGTTGGAACAAGGGAAGAAAACGGTAATCCGGGTTCTGTCTTCACAAACGACACGACGGATCCCAGCAGCGAGCGCTGCGCGGCGTTAAGGGCCGCACGAACCTTCCTGCCGAGCTCACGCAGAGCACAGCCCGAGAGGTGGTTCCAGCAAATATTTTCCAAAGTATTTTATTAATTAAATTTCCTGAATTTGTGGCTAGGTGGGAGAGGTATTGCAGAGCCGCCCAGCTGCCATTTCCACACGGGATGGGCCCTGTGAGGTGCTTGCGAGTCCTTAGTGGTGCTTAAGGAATAAGCTGGCAACAAATCCCCGTCATGGCCAATAATTAGCGACGGTGGACAGGGAAAATTTGCCATGAAATTAAACGGCCTTTTCACCGCTGATGCTACATTGCCGGCTACCCTTCTGCGCCTATTGTTGGCCGTGAGATCGTCCAGTGTTCCTTCGGGCTCGGCTTTACCTGCGGGCCGCGGGCTCCGCGCCGATTTCAGATTTGGTTTGAGCGGAGGAGGCTGCAGCGCGGGCCGCTTGCCCAGAACCAGCGTCCTGTAGTTCTTTCTCACCCTCGCTCCAAATTTATACTCCCCATCCTCAGGTTTTGGAGTACCTAAAGTGCATGAGAGGCCCTGACTCTGAGTCAGCGGGGGGAAGGAAGTGGTTTCTTTCTCAGTGCATGCAGAATCCTCCTTGGCCGTTCCTAAAGCGTCCTGCTCGCTGCCCTCCGTCACGCCGCGACGCTCCTCCTCGGGATCATTGCACTCACACCGCAGCTCGTGGGGTGGAGGGTCGGGCCCGTCCTCGCCGCTCGCCTCCTCCTCGGTTTTGATGCGGACGCGGTGCGGGAAGGGCAGCGCCTCGGCCCCCGGCTCAGCGCTCCGCGGCTCCGCAGCCCCCGGAGAGGCGGCGTCCTCCGCGGGATCGGTCCGTAACGAGGGCAAATCCGTGGCAAATTCAATACAATGAGGGATTTGGGAATCTTTTTCGGAATTCGCAGCCGCTGATGAAGAATCATTATTTAAGATCCTAGCAGCTATTGTATTGTTATCTGCACAGTGTGTAGTAGTTGCTGGAAGGCATTTCCTTGCCTCTCTGAGTATTCTTTGTTGTGGAAATGCATTGTTTGTCTTTGGGCTAGGTGAAGAGGCCCCCTTTGCAACGCAGTTAATTGTTAGGTCAGTACTCTTGGCGTTATTGGGAAATTCAGAGTGTGGGAATGTGATCTCGGCCGCCCTCCGCTCCCTTATCTCCGCGAAGCAGCTCCCAGGGCCGCCGGGGCAGCGTAGCGCCGGGCCCCAGCCGGGCCGGCCCCACTCCTCGGGCAGCTCCGGCTTCACGCAGCCCGCGGCGCGGCGGAGGGCGGGCGGCCCGCCGGGATCCGTCGGGGCCGGGGCCGGGGGCCGGGGGGCGGCGGCGGCGGCCAGATGGTACAAGAAGTTGGCGTGCACCACGGCGGGCGGGCTGCAGAAGCTGGTGCGCCTGAAGCGGATGCTCTGCACCGAGACCTGGCTGGAGACCGAGCTGGAGTCGGAGTCCGAGGTGCTGTCCTCCTCCTCCTCCTCCTCTTCCTCCTCCTCCTCCTCCTCCTCCTCTTCCTCCTCCTCCTCCGAGCTGCCCTCGCTGGAGTCCGAGCCGCCGCTGCCCTCCTCGTCCTCCTCCTCCTCGTCCTCCTCCTCCGAGCTGCCCTCGCTGGAGCTGGACGGGCTGGAGCCGCAGTCCGAGTCGTGCGCGGCGCGGCCGGAGCAGCAGCTGGACTCCGAGTCGCTGCTGCCGCTCTCGGCGAAGGCGGGCGAAGGCGGCGGCCCGAAGCCGCGCGGCAGCGGCAGAGGCAGCCGCGGGGCGCCGCGGGGCCGGCAGGGCCGCGCCAGGGCCAGGGGCCGCCG